GTGACAAATCTTTTTCTCAAGCCCTATTATTCCCAGGTGGTGGGTGAGTGGTTGGTCTTGAGCGTACATTGCTACCCGTTGCAGCTTTTCTGCCTGAAAGTTGTCGGTCCTTTCTATAAAATTTCAATGAACTGTAAAGGACATGGTCATGGGTCATCTTAACACAGCTAGGTAGCGAGCTGGGGAACATTAAATAGCCATTTTATGCCCATGGGCTGAGTTCCCTCATTTTAAAAAAGAGGTTCAGATTTGTCAAGGAGCATGGAGTTGTTTAGAAAGACTTTTCAGGTATAGTACATCAGTTAAATGAGAATCACTCACTTTAAAGATCATCTTTTGTTCCTTTTATCTCTTTGATTTGCTTGAATACATTACTACAATAAAAATACATTGCTATGCCCCTAAAGTACTCCCCCTGGTGGCTGGCTGATTGTCCTGAATCTATTTAAAACATTTGCCTTTCATGGGCACTTTGACTTTGGGGATGAGCTAAAAGTCACATGGTGCCAGATCCAGTGAAAATGGTGAACAAAGAGTCCCTTAGTGTTTTCAATTGACCGAAAATGCCAAAAACTGATCAAGAAGGACCGATCACAAAATACAGTACCATTAATTCCACTCCCAATGTTCTCACTCACCTTCACACATTTATCTGATTGTTCTTAGCCATGTGTGTCTTACTGTAGTAAGTTGTTTCGTTTTATTTTTATCTTACAAATTCTCAATCAACTCTTGGATAACATCTTGGAATTAGTCTACAAAGGTTAAGAAAGCCAATGGATCATTATGACAATGAACGAGAGGCATCCAGGAGCTACATGGCTATCAGACGTAGTGCTTTATTTAAATTAGCATATGTGACATGAGTAAAGGCCATCTAATTTGCACCACAGATTAGGAAATACTAATATTAGTGCTTGGTATATTATGTAATTGTTGCATATAAAATCTGTTGTGCAGCAAGGGTCCGAATTTCATTCTACACTAGTTATGTCAAAAGGTGTTTATTTTCACTCTATTCTAAGACTAAACGTAATGTAACCAAATAGGAAGAAGACAAGCAAGTGTGGACAAATAACACCTCTAGAAGTGTGTACATACATTGGTCAGTTTTCCCCTTTCAGTCCTAGCTCTCCTGCCCCTTGGACCAGAAGTTTTGGGATCATCTGTGAATAGCTGTATGGATTTAATTTTATTTTTAAAACTCAGAGTTTTTAAGATGTGTATGTATGTGTAAGCTGTCTTATCTGATGGGAACTTTAGTATAGTTTGAGTTAAAAAAAGGATAATAAGAAACATAGGGCAAGGGACTGAACTGGAGGGAGGAAGGGGAGAGGAGAAAGGAACAGGGAATGAACAGCAATTTAAATATGATGCCCATGGACCGACTCCCCACAAAGAAAGTAATCATAAGGTACTGCACACTAGTAGAAAATACCTAGAAAATAAAGCGTGGTCCATTTGCCATGGTCATAGTCACCTCATAACTCCTCGGTTTGTATACAAAATTGTATGCTTGTGTATGCATATTGTGTGTAAAGAGGAATAAAGACCGTGTTTGTATATAAACATGCATAGAATGTGTCTGATGAATATTGCCATATAAAGAACTATAAATCATGTCTTAAATACAGAAAATGCCTTAGCACTTTTATTTTTTAAAGAGAAAGTCTTAAATGTAGTGTGCCAACCACATGCTTTTTGTAAGCTATTTTAATTTTCATTTCAGTGTGCAGAAATTGATCTGTAATTCACGTACTCTCTCACCCACTTGAATATCCATCTTTCCATTCACTTATTTTTGCTTTGCCTGAATTCATCCTGGGCTTCCTGACTTTAGGGTTGTTGCTGTTGGTCACAGACCAGGTACTATGAGCAATTGATTTCTTGAATATATGTTTTATATTAGTGAAATGCTGGTGCTTGTTGATAGGTGCCACAATGTGACATATCAGTGAAAGGGAGACTTTTAAGTCCTATTTGGACTCTTATTTGCTTGAAATCTGATCTGAATCTGATACTGGTAATGTAGACTGCAACAGGATCTTTTTTTTTTTTCTTTTTTTTTTTTTAATTTTGTACAATGTCTCACTATGCAGCTTGGACTTGCAGTGGTCCTCCTGTTTGCAGCCTCTGCAGCGCTGGGATTACAGGTGTAGGCCTCCACCCTATGCCCAGACTTGGTCTCAGGACGCTCTGGGGCAGGGCGGTGTGGCATGAGGAACTGGGATTGAACCCTGGTGTCTGCGCTTGCCAAAACAGGCGTTTAGTCTGTGGGGCTATCTCGCCAGCCCTTGCAACAGGATCTTAACAGCCAGAGAACTAGAGAGCTAGGTTGCTCACCTGTAGATGAGAAATAGAGAATTTGGTGAATGTGTGCTGTCTGTCCAAGGAAGAAGCCAAATTGAAGTAGAATTTTCTTTTTTCTTTTTCTTTTCTTTCTTTCTTTTTTTCTTTTTTTCTTTTTTTTTGTGTGTGTGGTACAGGGGATTGAATTTAGGACCCAGTGTTTGCCAGGCAAGGCCAGTATTAAGTGAATTTATTTTGCTTATTTCAATACTGTTTAAGACCACACAAGTGAAAATTATCTAACAATAATGTATTTTTCCTTTCTAATATAATTTTAAGTGGACATGTGTCTATGTCTTGAATTGTAGGCATCAAAATGGATATTCCTCGTCCAGCAACCAATTTGCCAATTGAGTACACGGCTCAGTATCCCCCAGCAACATTACAAGGTAAAATACATGATTAAAGAAGAAAAATGATGGTAATCAGTTGATGCTCCCAAGATAGAGCAAGAGAAGAGGGGGAAAAAATGGGCTTCTCCATTTAGTAGTTAGTACTGACATTGCATTTAATAAATTTTGACAGCCTAGCTATTGCTCATTTTCTTTTGTATGTATATTATATAAGAGTAATTTTTTGTAGAAGACAAAGTAGAAAACAGAACTAATAGAATTAGTACTGAGTTTATATTAGCAAATGAAATATAGAATGTATATAGTTAAATCTCAAAGTACAAATAGAAATATTATACTTATCATTTCATTCATCTATTCTGAAAATTATGGTTGTATGTGACATGACAGATTTGCCCACAGCTATTTTGGAGTTAAGCAGTTTTTGAAATCATATTCAATGAGAAAAAAAGAAGAAAATGATAAAATTGCTTACAACCGGAAGTTGCCATCAATAGCAACGAAGCTACCTTGGGATGACAAGCATTTTCCCTTTGTAACACCCATGGCATCTTATTTTTATACACATGCTAATGAAACGTGCCTTGCATCTGTAAGAAAAGTATAAATCATTCTATTGTGGAGTTTGGAGTACGTCTTTTTTAAATCATGCATACAAGAGTTCAGAAATTTTCGTTGTGCCGTCCCCGCCCCAGGGGCCCACCGAGACAGCAATTGAGACAGTGCTGTGTGATTGAGACTGTGTGTGGTGACGCGAGCCTGTAATCCCAGGGCTTGGGAGGCTGAAAACAGGAGAATCTCTATGAGTCCTATCAGTGTAGTGAGATCCTGTGCACCCTGACCTAAAATACAAAAAAAAAAAAAAAAAAAAAAAAGTTTTGTTAAACATAATAACGCAGTTCTCAGCTTTATTAGACTCTTGGAAATGGCAAAAGTTTTGGTGTGTCCAGATTTACAAGTATGCGGGATAACCATGTATTAAAAGAACAGAGAGGGTGCTTGGGATCAAAGATAACCAGACTTTTATAAAAGCATGTATCCGTTTTGATTTCTTCGCTAAACATACCAGTTTGCGTGGGAGCTAAATAGCCTATTTAATTGTGTTTAAATAATCTTCCGGTGAGTTCTGCCTCTAATCCAGATAAACCGCAAGGCCCTAGGGTCTTGCAATCGCGGCTCCCTTGTCACTTGGAAACACTTAAAAGTGCTCATAACCAGAGCCCCATCCCAGAAAAATTAAATGAGGCCTCTGAACTCAAGGACTTAAGGTTTTAGTATCCCAAGCGATGCTAATGTGAAGCCGGGGGTGAGATCGAACCTCTGTTGGAAATCCTTACGGAATGAGTGTTCAGAGTACTAGCAGATCTGTAATATTTACCCAGGGCACTCGGAGAATCATTGAATCCATCGCATAGCTACCTAATACTAGTCAGACCAAATTAAATTCAGGTAAAATTGGAGCGTTTATTAGAAAAATAGCTTTGCTTTGTTTCCCAAGAAAAGGGCTATATATAGTCCTCATCTTGAAATGACAACGATGTGAACAATGACAATTTCAACTCGAGAGTTCACTGTGTTCTAGGCACTGTTTTCAGTGTGAATTTCCTCTGGGTGTACACATTTAATCTCATAACATTTTTAGGAGCTAGCTACTGTCAGCTCTGTAAGTTTTTTCATAATCTAACCACAATATAAAAATATTTTAAAATTAAAATGCATCTTGCTGATCATGTACAGACATTTTACTTGATAGTTTTTAAACAGTGTATTGTCACAGCTATTAAAATAATAGCATTCACATTTTATTAGGTATTCCCAGAAATGTAGAGATTAAAGTATATTTAGCGGCTAAAAGGTATATGTAATTTATGTGCACCACATTGCTCAGAAATTCTGAAAACCTTACGCAATACAGATGACATCAAGGAGCTCACCCCGCTTCTCAGAATCCTCCAACACCTGCCACTTGGAATACGATACAAACACCTCCCCAAGGTCCTCTAGAGAGGAACCATTTCCTGTTGCTTTAGTGACAGCCTGTTCTTACTGGTTCATTCCCACATGATGGATTTTTGCATTTGTTCTTGCTGGCTGGACCATTTCTCACCATATTGTTACGTAAAGCTTTCCTTTTTGTTGTTGTTGTTTCTTGGAAGCAGAAATTGAACTTGGGATGTTGCACTTGGCAGCATGTGCTGTGCCACTGAGCTGTATCCCCAGCCCCTTTGTCATTTTTTGATCTGTCTAAATTATATGTATCTAAAGTACCTGCCTTGCACCCTGAAATAGCTCCATGTATTTTCTCTATCGCAGCAAAATGAAAACGTTTTTGTCTTGCAGTAGTTGATTGAATGCTCAGTGAGAACAAGTTCCTTCTCTGATAGGTGCTTTCCTGGCTCTACATCACAGCCAGTGACACGTTATTGTCCTTAGTATTGGGGATGGGGAGACCCCAGGTATATAACTGGACTGTGCTAGAAGAGGTCCCTTATTTCTACACTCAGGTTTCTCATATTTTGGGATGGAGCATTTTTTCTATTCAGGGAACTATTTGGGGCATTTTAAGATGTTTAGCACCATCCCTGATTTCTACCCCCTGGAGGATAGAACCACCCTCCTCTACAAGCAAAAATGTCTCAAACCTTCCCAAAAATCCCTTGGGGAGAAAGGGGAAAATCACTTGCAGGTCTGCTGATACAGGAGATTCATTTACTAGACTTCTAAAATTATCCTGGGAGTGAGAAGTCTTCAAAATACTGGTCGAAGCTTTTGCCTTGGATCTGCTACCTGATGCTGCCTCTTTGCTCTGAAGGCATGTCTACATGTCTGTGTGATGGGCTGTCCTTGGCTTTCTTGCCCTTTCTCAGGTAGAGAGTACACTTCTTCCATGTGAGTTTTGAAGAGAATAGAAGTGGGGAAACTTGCAAAAATAGAAGAGGCTGTGAAACCACAAAGAGTGCATTGAAAAATCTTGAAAGATTAAAAAAAGAAGAAAACTTAAACTTGAAAGATCCAAGTATTCTAAGGGGTCCATTTGTAGTACATAGGATAATTAAACATGTGTTGATTCCTTTTTCCTGTAAAGCTATTCATGATTTCACTTGTTTTTTTAGGATCAGGACATCCCGCCTACCCCAGACCCATGGGTACATTTCCAGGCTCCCCACCTGATGGCTTAGTCCCTCCACCCGACTATCCAGGTGCTGGCAAAGCCAGCCAGAATCAAGCAGCATATCATCCAGGGGGACCCACCAGCATCCTGTGGATGCCAGCACCACCACCTCTGCCGCACTGCCCACCTGGGCTGGAATATTTAAGTCAGGTGATTACAGATTTGTAAAATGCTCAGTAAAGACACAATTGTGCTTCTAGTTCACATAATTAGAGTAACAAAGGAATAACTTTTCAGAGTCTAAAATGATACAATAGTGTCTGCTAGCATCACTGATTCTTCTAGGTCAGTTTCACTTTTTAAGCAAAATACAAATATATGACACAACCATTTTTCTATAATCTTGTATTTAGTCTTCAATGCATCAATAGTAAATATTCACCAAAATATCTTTGTTCTTAGCATACATGTATTATCTTGCTTAATTGTTACAGAAAAGTCTATGGCATATAGGTTTTTACAGTTATTGCCATTTTTCACAAGAGAAACTAATCAAGGTCACACAGGGCCAGAAAGCTAAGACAGGTGGACTTTGGTTCTGAACTTAGTGCTCTTTCATGCCAAAACTACTTTCCTGGGGACTTGAAAGAAATCTTACTTCTTCTTGGGAGAGGTTGGGGGGGGGTATTGGGAATTGAACTCTGGACCTTACACTTCCTAGGCAGGTGGTGTGTCACGGAGCCACCTCCGCAGCCAGAAAGAAATTTTAAATAAAGTTTAGTGCTTAGTTTCAATAAGAAGCATGAACCTGGGTGTGGTGATGCATGCCGGGAATCCCAGCACTGGGGAGGCCAAGACTTGCTCCAAGTTCCAGGGCAGCTTGGGCTACATAGTGAGTTCAAGACTGATCTGGACTATGTGGCAAGACACTGTCTCAAAAAAGAAAAAAGGAAAAAGGAAAGATGAAACAAAAAGTTGATGTTTCATGTATAATATGATTCACTTCTTTACAACTAATGAAATTACAGTAGTCTCACTATTTTGCAGTTTGACTCATTGTTTCGTGGGTTTTCAAAAAATATTAATCTAAATTACTCATGGATTTTTTTGCTATATTGCACAATGCTGTGGTAGCATACAGTATAGGCATATCATTAAAATTATATAGGTTTACAACTTTAGAAATGGTTAAGAACATTAAAAGTGTTTTGTTTTGTTTTGTTTTTTTCCTAGAACTAGGGATTGAACTCAAGCCCTTGCACTTGCTAGGGAAGCACTTATTCTACTGAGCCATCTCCCCAGCCCCTACAAGTGTTTTTAAAAGTGTGGGAAAGGTTTATAAGTGGGAAGGATTTAAAAAGCCTTAAAATATATGTAAATGCTGAAATAAATACGATGTTGCTACTTTGCTGATTTTCACTTATCATGGGTGTGTGTGGAGCATAACCTCCACCTTGTGCAAGGGACCACTCCTTGTATTTATGATGCCCATTTTCCTCTTTGGAAGATCCAGTTTTATAAATGCCAACAAGACAGGGGAAGAAAAGGCCAGTATTTTGTTCTACCAACAGGATATTGAATCTTGGCATAGGAAATTTAACATTTATTTTGTATAAGACATCAGGTATATAAAAATAGAGTAAAAGCTCTGTGTGTCCAGCCTATGAACATATTAGCAGATGTTATATCAAATCAGTATTAAGTAAATCAGGTGTGTCTCTAACATAGTCTACTAACTTTATTTTCTACAGTGCATTCAACCAGGATATAAGAAATTTAGTAACAACCATATTCTTGGAAAAATACCTTTAAAAAAAATACTCCCGCTTAGGCAGACGCAGGGACCGGGACCCTGGTGTGCCATGCTGGCCTCACCCCCTTGGGGCACACTCAGGTGGCAGTTGAGACTGGGTGTGGTGGTGTGCACCTGTAATTCCAGCACTTCAGAGGCTGAAAACAGAATAATCACTAAGAATCCAATCGGTATAGTGAGACCCTGTAAACCCTGTAGACCCTGTATTAAATACTAAATAAACAAATATTTTTTTAAAAAAATACTCCAAAATGCCCATTTTTTAAATCAGGAATTGATAAAATATATACAGGAAATTATCACCTATCATAACTGATTGGACTGGTTAGATAGCAGACTACACACCTGCGTAGACAAGCACAGGGACTGGAGTTTGATCCTGGGCACCACATGCCACGCTGGCCTTGCCCCCGGGTCACACTGAGCTGGCCTCCCAAGACCAGGAATGGGATTACGTTACATTATATTACATTACAGGCGCATGCCTGTAATCCCAGCACTGGTGGGGCTGAAAACAGGAAGATCACTATGAGTCCAAGCTGTGTAGTGAGGCCCTGTACCAAATACATTTAAAAAAAAAAATGATTATATCAAGTATATTCACAATCATAAAAGATTTTTCAAGTGAATAAAACAAACATTTCTTGGACATCTTTAAGAAAGTTGTTTTAGGAATTCCAGCATAAATCAGTTTTATTTTACTTGAAGTTTTTTACACTGAGTGAAAAATATCAAAACTTTACCTATTAACATTAAAGCCTAATGTCAACCTAAAACTGATCATTGTAAGCGGTAATAATGATATGCATACATTTTCTTTTTCTTATAATAGATAGATCAGATTCTGATCCACCAGAAAACTGAACTTCTGCACGGTATGCATTCACTGTTTTGGTTGTATTTCTACAAAGAAAAGTTTTTGTGGACAGAGGCAAATCCAGCCCACAAATATAACACTGGCAATCCTATGGGACGGTAAACTAGATTATTTACCAGTGTCTGTCTTCACAAAAATTTTCTTCCAACCAGCATACCCTCTCCTTCTTTCCCTTTGTCTTTTTCCTCAATCTAAATCGCTTCTAATTACATTTCTTCTTCCTCTTTCTGTTTCTTGAAGTATCATCCAACCCTGGTATAGCAAAAGGACATACTATGATAGTCGCTATTTTTAGCTAAATTGTGATAATGATGTTATGTTTTTATGTTTTTAGTCTTAACAGGTTTTGAAACAAATAACAAATTTGAAATTTTGAACAACCTTGGGCAGAGAATTTACTTTGCCGTAGAAGATACGGATTGCTGCACTCGAAATTGCTGTAGTTCAGCGAGGCCTTTTACCTTGAGGGTTCTTGATAATTTGAACCGCGAAGTCATAACTGTGGAGCGGCCACTGAGGTGTGACAGCTGTTGCTTCCCCTGCTGCCTTCAGGAGGTCAGTGTGCAGTTACCAGGGCAGGAAGAATTTTCACCTCTTCATTGACTGTAGACAGTCTGATTATTAGTACATTTACATATATTCTTTGGCTACTGCAGATTGAAATCCAAGCTCCTCCTGGTGTCCCAGTGGGTTTTGTCACTCAGACATGGCACCCCTGCCTGCCAAAGTATACTGTTCAGAATGAGAAGAGAGAGGCAGTGTTAAAAATTACGGGACCATGTGTACCATGCAGGTGTTGTACAGATATTGATTTTAAGGTAAGAAAGGTCATAATGTGTACACATTTGTTTTCCCAGTGTGGAAAGAATGGGATTCTATAGAATGCTAGCAAATACATCAAAGGAATCTCTTGTACTGATATGCAGGAGAGAAGTAATACGCTTGTATGTTTAACATCACTCGGAGAGAGGCTCATGATTCTGACCAGAGGTCAGTGGTGAGTATGATCAGTGGGGAAACGAAGCTGTGCAGCCAAATGGAAATAAACAAAACGTCTAACACTTAAACGGGATGGCTTCTGGGTAGTGACACTACTTTGTTATTCAGTTTCCTTTTATCTTGGCCCTCTAAATCTGCTTGTCCACATGCATGAATTCCTCCTTAATCTGCTGTACAGACCAGTCTGTGCTCTGGGCCATGGTCTCAAAAGCTGACTTCCTGCAAAAAACCCAAGTAGATAAAGATGGTTTTAATAAGGTTGGTACAGAAGAACTTTCTTTTCCTCAGTTTTGCTCTCCAGTTTCAGTGACCCACAGTGAACTGTGGCCTGAAAGCATTGAAGGGGGAGGATCCATGAGTAAATGATTTTCTGTTTTAACTGCACGCCATTCTGGGTAGTGCAGTGGGTCCTGTGCCCCATCCCGTGCCATCCAGCCTGGACATGAGCGCTCCCTTTTCCCAGCACAATCTCACCAGGTGTGCTACCTGCTCATTAGGTCAGTCACTTAGTAGCCTTCTTGGTAATAATTGATGATCAGATTGATTATACTGGTATCTATCCCACTGCTAGTGTTCAGGTAACTTTAAGTGCTGCACCCCAATGTTCTGTGTGTGCAGGGCCTACATCAGCAGTATTCCTTCACCTCTGCGCAGTAGTAGTGTATCATCTCATGTCATCATAAAAAAGGATGAGAAGATATTTAGAAAGCCAAAGAGGGAGACCAAAGTCACATAACTTATTACAATATACTCATTTTTATATTTTTCCATTTGTTGATCAATAATTATAGCTAATCTCTTTTTGTGCATAATTGATAATTTAACCATATAGGTGTGCATGAATAGGAGCAAATACAGGGCTTCATGTCATCTACAGCTTCAGGCCTCACCAGAGCCCCATGATGGGGAGGAGCTACTGCGTAATATGTACTCCCCAGTTAGGGTTTGCCTTCTCTGCTGGAGGCCATCAGGATGATAAGGAACACGTCTATTAGATTTTGTTTTTGAGAGAAGCATGAAGTTTACATGGGTTGCAAACTGACCATCATATTAGATTTTTAGTAATTTGTGTTCCCCTTCTGATAGTGACGGGAGATGAGCCCTTCATGATGTTTAATTTTTTGTATTTTAGGGAAGGATCTACAGGGTGTTCAGGGTCTCACTACTAGATCGGACTCATAGTGATCCACCTATTTTCAGCCTCCCAAGAGCTGGGAATACAGGCGTGCGCCACCATGCCCAGCCTCAATTGCCATCACAGTGCGCCCCGGGGGTGGGGCCAGCACAGCAGGCCCAGGGATCGAACTCCTGGCCCCTGTGCCTGCTTGCAAGCGCCTTAATCCACTGCACTGTTTGGCCAGCCCCATGACGTTTAAATTTGCAAGTCATTGTAAACTTATTGTTCCTGGAAATTAGATCAAAGAATTTATGTTTTTATTCTTTTCTGCCTATATTTTAATTTGGGTGAACTTAAATAATTTTATTATTTTTGTCTTAATACAAAATAGAAAATACTATTTTATTAAAATTGCTTTCCTGTAATTTATCTGTACTGTAAATCACTTTTCCATATATCTACAAGTATATATAGGAGGCAAAGAATATCTAACCATGGTTATATAGATCATAGTTACATATGGGTATCTTTTTACTGTTGTGTTGGTTTAATTTTACTGTACCTTTGAAAGTAGCTTTTCTGTGAGTTTGCTAGAAATCCTTAAGACTTTATCCTTTGCAATGTAGATTAAATCTCTTGATGAAAGATCTATAATCGGCAAGATTTCCAAGCGCTGGACTGGGTTGAGAGAAGCATTCACAAACGCCGACGACTTCGGGATCCAGTTCCCCTTGGACCTTGATGTGAAGATGAAGGCGGTGATGCTGGGCGCCTGCTTCCTCATCGTATGTTGTTCTCTCAGGCCTTGGTCAAGGTCTAGTTAGCCGGAGACAGGTCGGGCCAGGGATGGAATGGAGCAAGCAGGGTGCAGGAGCTCAGAACACAAGCGTTGATGAGCCCAGGCCACCCTATCCTGTTTATGATGTGCCGTGCCTCTAACAGGGCTGTCCTTATCCTGGAAAAAGTTGTATATGGAACTCCTGCCATGTCAGTAGAGAAATTGTATAACTAGGGAAAGACAGTGAAGAGTTGAGGCAGGCAGAATGCAAGGGAAAGATTTCATGAACTTACAAAAACTACTATGTAGAAAAACTGCTAGGGAATTAGAAATGCATACGGTATCAATTGATAAGTGTAAAATTTAGTAACAAGTGAAAGCAGAATTTATACAGCGATGGACTTTTTGGAGGTTTACTGTATATGTATATATATAATTTTCTTTTCTTTTTTTTTTTTTGCCTGCTCAGCCCATCCTGAGGGTGGGGACTGGCCTGGCATGTGATGCCAGGGATCAAACCATGGTCCCCTCTGCCTACCTAAGCTTGATTAAGCAGGTGCTGTAGACTGCTCAGCTATCTCACTGGCCCTTCAATATTTAATTTTTCTTTTTTAGCATGTTATTGTGTGTAGTCTGTTCTCTTACCTTTCTGTGCCTGAAAATTGATTTTTTTTCCTGATTACTCACTTTTCTATTTTTGTTTTATCTAGAACTTCATGTTTTTTGAAGAGATTTGAAAAGAAGAATGAAAACCAAGAGTACAATGATGAAAGAAAATATCCTCAGAGAAGTTGTAATCTGTAATTGAGACCATGTAAAGAAAATTTGATCTTTGTCTTTTTCTTTATGGAAATCACTCATATATGTAAGAATAAAGTCATATTTTGTCAGATTATAGTTTATTTTCTATATCTTATACTCGGTTTAGGTGTAAAATATCTACAAAGCCTCATGGAATTATAGGGCTTTTGAATGTATTAAGAGGATTTGCAGCTCACTTGCTGTTGGAGGTGGGGTCTGGCCAGAGGAGGTGAGTCCCTGGGTGTGTTCCGGAAGAGTTTATGTCCCTCCCTAGCTCTCCACTCTTTCTGCTTCCTTGATGCCATGCCAGGAGTGCTTCCTGTTTGCCTTCTTGCCTTGGAGCCAGTTAATTATGGATTGAAACATGAGGCAACATACACCTGTCCTTTAAATTACAAGTTTTGGGAATTTCATCCCAGCAACAATGGAAGCACCTACACCATCGCTTTTTGTATTTCTAATATTTTTAAAAAATATTCACTGGATTATGAGAAAAGGACAGAGGAGATTTTACAGTGGGAAATGACACCTTCTACAAAGAGCTGTTTAAATCCTGATTCATGTTGCATTTTTCTACTGAAATTAAACCTTTACTAGAGTTAAATTGAATAAGAAAACTATCCCACTAAGCCTTTTTATTTATTTTTTTTTCAGAACCGGGGCTTGAACTCAGGCCCTTAGTGGGGACTAAGCCTTCTTATATCTTGTTTCATAACAGAAGAACTACTGTGGGTTGGTGGTCTGACTTGAGTGCTGCATACCATTTGGCAACAAGCAAGATTCTGAGTTCTATCCCTAGCGCTACAAAAGAAAACAAATTTTGAAAAACCTCTAATGAGGGCCAGCCTTATAGCTCAGCTGATTAAAACTCCTGCAAACAGGCAGAGGGGCCCAGGAGGGTTTGATCCCCAGGCCTGCCTTGCCAGCCCCACCCCCGGGGGCACACTGAGACAGCAATTGAGACCAGACATGGTGGCGTGCACCTGTAATCCCAGCTCTTGGGAGGCTGTAAACAGGAGAATCACTGAGTCCAATTTAGTAGTGAGACCCTGAATACCTTGTAGGCCCTTCCCTAAAATACAAAAAACAAAAAACCCTCTAATGTTTGTAAATACAATTTAAATAGTTAAACCACCCTCTTCTTCTTGTCAAATACTACTCAACTTGGGGTTTTCTTTTCCATGCTTGAAACCTTTTAT